GGACGGAGCGCCGTATACGCTGCTTGCTTTGCGGCGGGCGCCGTTAAACCGTCTTGACGAGGCGCGGAGCGCCGTTACGCTGCTTGTTCTGCGGCGGGCGAGATTAGGGGTCTGAAACAGCGTGTGTCGCTGAGTCCCCGGCGGATTCATTTTTGCTGGACCATGACGGGCTCCTGCTGAAGTATATAGCCACTGACGACGAGTCCATAGACCCGTTTAAGGTGGTTATGCCCAAAAGTCTGAGAGCCGCACTGTTGCGATCCTCTCACGACGAACCCATGGCCGGTCACCTGAGTGGCTCGAAAGTTTTTGCAAACTGAGCAATGTTGTGACCTGGCCCGGCACGAAGCGTGGCTTTTATCGCTATTCCGTGCCTGCCACGTCTGACAAACGGTTGAGCCAAGGGTTGGAAAGCCGCCCGGTTTTATGAACCGATTGTCAGTGAGCGTCCGTGGCGCGTACTAGCTGAAAGATCCCCTTTGGGAAAACTCAGCCGTGCCCACATCGCAGACCTGAAGCCCTTTGTCACGGTCTGACGAGCTCGCGCCAGTGCCCTACGGCACTTCGCGCAAGCAACGGGCACACCCGGAGCGGCGGGCCGCATTCGGACCCCGCACCGGTATAATCTGAGGAAGCGGTCACCTTTGTGATTTCGCGCCGGACGGCGGACTTCTCCGCAACCGAAGGCCCTCAGTTTACTGTCTAGCCTCAGTATAGGTTAGCTTCTTTACGGCCTTTTTTCGTAAAGGAGTTGACCCCGCCCTGTCTGCTGCCAGTGTTTCTTTTTTTTTTAAGTGTTCATGTGTATTTTATGTTTTTTGCCAGATGTTTAGTGTCAGTTTGCTCTGTGTTTACTTTTTTTCGTGTTCGTTTCGTCTACCGCGAAGGGAGCTGTGTGTGACCTTCAGTGTCGGTGCTTGCCGGGAGGGAGAGAGACGAAGGACGCTTTGCGCCTACGCTCGCGCAGCTGTCGGCGGTGTGTGTGCGTGCTTCTGTGCGTGTATAAGTGCGTGACGCTTCAGTGCGAGCCCGCGAAGAGTGCGTCATGGCTGCCCTCCATCGACGCGGACACTGGAGGTGCTGGGGGGTCATTGACCCACTGACGTCAGACCATCTGGCTGTGCTCTGCTCTTGGCCGTCGCCGAAGAAGCCGTGCTGCCTTTTCCACCATGGCTCCTGCGCGAGGCCAGCTGAAAGCAGCTATATGCTGCTGGCCAACGCCAGGGCGCCTCGCAGCCAATTTTTGGTTCGGCCTCCCTGACCACCGGAGAGGCCCGGCTTCCCGCAACGTCCAGCTTCGTCATCGAGCCGGAAATGCGGGGCCTCCGAACAACCGAAGCGGCTTTCGTCGGACTCGCGGCTTATCAAGAGCAGCAACAAGCCATCAGTGAGCCCCTTCCGGTACCTGTGACCTCGCACTCGGGCATCGCACCCAGCGGACACTGTCACGCCCTTTTCCGCCCCTCCGCGCAGTGGACGCTATTCCCGCTTCAGCACCACGAACACTAATCCCACTTTTCTGTGCTCCCTTTCGCAACTGTTTTATAGTGTCATGTGTTTATTTTGTTAGTTATGTTTTGTTTCTCCTTTGTAATTTTTTTAGCAGCAGTAGCAGAGCTGGACTGAGGTTAGCTACCGCTCATAGCAGTGTCATTTTAACTGCATGGGTGACGTCCGGCTGCCTTTTGCAGACCGGTAAAGGGCAAATTTAGGAGGGGGGGATGTGGGAATTGAGGCTGGCCCGCTGCCTTTGCGCGGGCTTTCCCGCCTTTTCTGCCATTCTCATGTCCCGACATGTCTGCCCTCCTTTGCCGTCAGCCGCGCTGGGAAGGGCGGAGTGACGTTTAACTCCCTCACCCGGTAGCGGATGTTGACTGTGGCGCCGCGCGCGGGGAGCCTCCCGAGAGGTTTTCGCGCGCTGCGTCGGGAGCGGTGAGTACAGTCCGGGACTTCAAACGGTGAGCCACGCATTCTTTTCCGTCCGTCGAGTCCCGTCGCTCGGGGCTCGTCGGACTTCGCTGACGGCGCCTCGCGCCCGATGCGAACGCTCACCTTTTGTTGCCCCGCTGCGTACTCACGGCCGAAGGGCAGTACGGTGTCCTAGTGCGTGGCCTAGCTACGCCGACCCGTCTCCCTTCGAAGCCAACGCGAGCGCCTTTGCCCTCGCTCGAGCAACTGGGCCTTTGCTCCGGTGTCTCCGTGGATTACCTTTACCGCGGAGACGTGCTCGTGGCACCCCTGTGTAGTACTTTGTGCCCGTGGCGTGGATAAGCCTACTTGCTTTCCCGCCGCGCCTTTTTGCAACGGGCTGTACTGCGTTTGGTGTTGCCACAATAAAGTGTTGCGACGTTGAGCAGTATCGTGTTCTCGCCACGGCGACGGTTAACGCGTGCCCTGCGGCTCGCTAAGACCGGACCCACGCTGGTGGCCGTACTCCTTCGGGATACGTGTACACCACACCCTATAGCTTTATTTTGTAGATGAGTAATCTCAGATTAATCCTGTAGGTGTTTCCCCAGGAAGAAGAACAGTATGTTAGGTGACTATGAATGAAGGTATAATGAAAAAAGAATGTGCAGTGGGAAGGATGAGAACATGAATACCAAATTTGGACAAGTTAGTGGTAATGTGCTCATCAAGTTGTGGTAACAGCAAGGGAAAACAGGGCTTAAATAAAAAGAATGCGGGCATTGAGGAAAAACCTCGATTTACAAATGCTGCCATGTATGAAATAACTAAAGGAGCAATGACAGTAGTATGTGACCGTCAAGGCCATGTTATTTCTGATGCATTAGTCCCCCCTTGCAAAGTCATGGAAGCTGAAGAGCTGGCCATTCCACTTGCCATCCGTGAACGCCTGCATGCAAACATGCCGCTGACAATTCTCACGGACTCCCAGCAGGTTTGCAGGAACTTCCTGCTGGGAAAAAGTGATAAGCCTGCTGCAAAGCAAGATAAGGAATACTCCTTTATACAGACCATCATATGGATACCAGGACACTTTGGAGTCTATGGCAACCTGCACGCCTACCGGGCTGCTCGAGGCTTTGTGCACAGCTGAGGGCCCCTTATGTTGACTGCAGGAGACCCGGAGCTAGTTGACCCTCAGTATGTCGCAATAGTGGATTACCACGGAAGGTGACGCCTACAGTATTCACCACCTCATGAAGAGCTTATGACGAAGGGGGCTACCGCTTGGCGTAGACTCCAAAGCGGAACCTACAAAAGCGTACTCACACTATGTCGCATGCACCCCATATCTTACAGGGATGAATGTCCATGGTGCGGGGTCACACCAACCCTGCACCACATTACGTGGGAGTGCACACTACTCGACCTCGAACGTAACCACATGAACAGTGCAAACGAGCAATGGGAGCCACTGCTGTCCAGCTGGCCCTCGGCATACAGATCAGGCTCGTCCAGAGAGCGGAGCGGGTGGCAAGAGCCAGGGGAGCCCTGGACTAAAGACCTCGACCATCAGCAAAACCCCCTTCAGAGAAACCCACAGGAGCTTTCATTGCCTGTACATAAATAAAGTTTGTCATCATCATGTTTGTTCACACAGCTGACTGGGCTAGATCGGAAGACTGAGCCTTCAGACTGACTCACAAGCTGCTTGTTTATAAAAGACACCTTTATGCTCTTGGCTGTTTCACTTTTGCCATCTCACATGCCCATTGTTCGTCTTCGCTCCATGAGAAGGTGATGTCTTCTCGAGTGAGCTGAGTCAATGGCCATGCGATGCGTGAAAAATTTGCACTAAATCGCTGGTAATAGACACATAGTCCCAAAAAATGCCGAACGGATTTTTTATATGACGGGGTTGTGAAATTCGCCACGGCAGCTAGTTTATCTGGATTTATGTTTCAATTGTCACAGCCTTTCCATTTTTTTTTTTACTTTATGTATGTAATGCATTGGTTGAGATGTTTCTTAGTGCTTTTTTTATTTTTTCTTTGCAAGGACTTTTGTGTCCCTGTTGTGTGCCTTGTATTAGGGGGCTTGCGCTATCCTCACGCGAACGATTTCGCTTTTTGCCAAGCTTGCCTGCATCTTCACGATGTAAATAAACTTTGATTTTAGTTGATTTGCTGCTTCCAGATATAGTCTTGAACTTTCAACCACCAACCGAAAGGCTGGAAAACAGTTGTGTAACAAGTGCACAGGCCAAGCTGCCGGATGAAAACTAAGGCAGCAAAGCCTGACGAAAAGCAAGTACCAGGTAATAGAATGGAAAGTTGGGCGAGTTGGTTTGAAGACATTCAAAGAAATGCGCCTGTTTGTCTCCTCACCTTCCATTTTCCCATCCACTGTGTGCGCGCCGAAAGGTTACCAAGAAAGTACCAGGGGATAGTGATGGCAATAGGGCTATCGCACATTTGAATAGGGTGGGCAGATCGTGATGATGAGAGTGACAGCTACGGAGCTGGGCGTTACATTTAGGGCCGCGAGGCACTTTATAAAATTGCCAAGCTATATTAAAGTGTTCTGGAGATATAAGGGGATAAAGTTTGATATGTTATTCTGAAACATTTGGTTTCCTGAAATTCATAGTAGGGAGATGTTTTTAGAATAAATCAACATTTGGAGGGAGATTTTCAGAAATGTTGTTAATTTGAAAAAAATTGTTATATTGAAGTTGGCTATGACGAGATTTCACTGCACGTCACCGCATCTCACCAACTGAGTATACTCGTACAAATACAAGTACTGTGATGTCTTGGACATATTATGCCATATAGTATGGGGATGCAGACAAAATCCCAGTACTGCTACACTGGCTGAAAAGCAGTAGGCCACGTTATTGGATCCAGGCCTGAAAAAAACAGTGAAGCTTGGTCGAGCAGAAGGTGACAAAGGCCGGTGGCTACGTGGTATAAGAAGGCTGCCCACCTTTGGCACACAGTGGTGCATTTGCTATTCTCTCTCTCCTTTTAGTGAAGATTCTTTATTGTCATGAACAGAGTATGCGTCGTCTTCTTGCCATCATGCTTTGTTTTTCTCTTTGAACGTTGATTGTGCAGGGTGAACTGCACCGTGGCGGTGTGCCTTCTTCAGGCATGGATGATGTGGAACTTTGTCAACTTTCACTTGCAAATGAGGAGGGAGCGTTCGGAGGCCCAGCAGAGCTCAGGGGCCGGCTGCCAAGAAGAAGGCCGTCCCTCGCAAAGACCGCAAAGCCAAGAAAGATGAATGTGAGCCTCGTTTCATCTTATTTGAAAATAAGGGTCAGCCGATCTGATTGAATGTTTTAACTCGGAAGTTGACAGTGACAGTATTATTTTTTAAAAGAAAAAACACATCTGGTACACGTGCCAAGTATAATTTTCTTCGACAGCACTCAGTAGACAAAAAGAAAAAAAATTGGTGCTGGATTGCTTAGCTGAGGATTCATGCGGGTCCTTGAAATCCATGAAAAAGACCTTGAATTTGAAAAGTTTGTTTTCAGAGCCTTGACAGAGCTGGAGTTCTTGCAAATTCTTGAAAATTCTTGATTTCTTTTTCTAAATATGTCACACATTTCACAGCGCATTATTTCTGATGGCTAAATTCAGAAGGTGGCATATGTAATGTGCCCATCACTAAAGAATTGAGAACATCAGTAGCTTCTGCACTGTACCAACAGCGTGCACTCCTGAAAACTTGGTAAAGGCAGAAGCAGGAGGATGATAAACAGAAGAAGAAATGTTGCATTGAGGAGGAGGCTGAGATGCTAACAAAAAAAGGAGAAGAAACTAGAAGCCACTGTTGATGAATTAACAGCCACAGCAGACTCGTATGCAGAAAAGGCAGAGACAGTTGAGCTACTTGAAGTGCATCATCTAGTCAAACGACCGTAAAAAAGACTTCCAAGACCAAGCAGCAGGAGATAGTGCATATTGATATTTATAAGAAAATTCACGAAAAAGAAAGCAAGGCATTCCATAATAACGTTTTCTTAGTTTTCCTATGCCCTGAATAACAGTTTGCAACTTGTGTCATACTGAAAGTGATTACTAGAGGCCGGATTTTCAGGCACTAAAAAAGTGTGTTTTAGTGCCTTCAGGTACAACTGCGTCGTCTCACTGCTACTTCAAGCTCCAGCTCGCAGCCGTATGATGACCTCTGCTCTGCGGTGCTGGCCCCCTACGGCCTCATCTACCGCCCGCTTCCGTTGGCCCGTTAATTCCTGTTTTACTGTGAGTCATAGCAAGCGGTATCAAGGAACCATCATTCCTGCTTCGACCAAACTTTCGCTTCCCTGGCTACGTCTCCTACATCCTCTCGTCCGGCCACTAGCGATGCGAGTCCTGCATCCGACTGCCCATTCGACGAGGTTCAGGACATTTGTGCAGCATGCGATCAGTGTGCCACGATGTGCGTTATTTCATCGTCCTGGGCCGACGATACTGTAGGCATGCTCGCCACCCGCTTGTCTTGGCCGATCTCCACGGCCCACTACACTTCTGACGTGTCAGGTTCCACAACGGCTACATCACCGAACGCCCCGGTGTCTACCATGACGCCCGCTATTCCCCCTCGTCGCAGATGCTTCAGTGTTGACGTTGTCCGAAAGCGCCTCTCCACCTACCTCAATGCTTTGTGCGTCCTACCAACAGAGAGCAGTCCTACCATTCTCGCGTCCAGTTGCGCATCTGCAAGAGCTGTGTGGTGGTGCAAAGATTTTTTTTTTTTTTTTTTTGGGGAGGGAGGGCCGACAACATTTGTGTTCCGCTCTTGGGTGGGCAAAAAGGGAGCAGGCGAAAACCTCCAGCCCCCCCCCCCCCCCCCCCCCCTCCTGCCCCAGTCCCCCTGGTGCCGCCCCTGTGCAAGAGCACGGAATAGGCCGATCAATTATTTCCACTTATGCGCGACTGTGACGGCGCCTTTTCTGGTAACCACTAGGAAAGAAGGACAGCAATGTGGCGACCACCGAAAAGCGCACTGGTATGGCATTGCCTATAAAAACCTTCGTCTGTGGCATAGCACCGCCTTACACCTACTGCACGCTTGTCTTCCTCAGGTAACCAGCGAGTGCGGGCGAAATCGCCCGCACTCGCTTTCTAGCCTCTTAAGAGAACCAGCGGAATTTGTACGATCAACGGCACCGCGACGTGCACTTCTTACCCGATTTAATGGTGCTGCTGTGGTCCCCGAGCAGTCAAGTCGGCTTGTCGGAAAAACTTCTTTTCCGCTACACTGGTCCATATCGAGTCCTTCGTGAAATTACTCCTGTGACATACGAAATTGCCCCTGCTGCCCCATCACCTTCAACTGCCTCACAGACCACCGTTATCGTACATGTGGCACGCTTGAAGCCTTACCACTCTCCCGCTGACGTTGACGTCTAGACGCGCCGAGACCGCGCTTCTGCCGCCAGGGATTATGCTACATGTTGACATTTTGTGGGACGATGCGCGTGTGTGCCTGACGAAGAGGACAAAGGGTGGTCTCCGCTCGTTCGCTGGTGAACCGTTCACACCATTACTGCTAGTTTTGAGTACATCTCATCCACAGCTTCGTCGATACAGCATCGCGTCTTATTTGTAACAATATGCTATATATGGGCTATTCAAATTCCGTTTCAAATTATTCGAGCAAAATCACTATTCGCTTTGAATTCACTTTGAACCTAAAATTCACTATTCGCACAAGCCCAGTTTTTACTTCCGTTACATGAATTTTGAAGGCCGCCCATGTCAGAAGGTCATTGTGGTTTCCATGCGACACGTTGTTGACATCGCTCAAGTAAAGTGAGAGATAATTGAGCTTCCCAGCATTGTTCCAGTGGTTGAGCAGGCTCGCCCGTTCCTAGTCGGCGAGCCAGTCTTCCACATTGTGCTCTTCTGTACCGCTAAAGAGTGGCAGGTCATGTATATGGAACGGGCCAAGGAAATGCACCATCGCACTGAGTTGTTGTTGTTGCATTGTTTCCTCATCTGGCATTGTTGAGGCGGGCTTGAGGTTTTGGTTCTGTAGTTCTGTACCGAGCAACTCCACCACTTGTCGCATCGCAGGGGTTTATTGAGGATTCTTCAATAATGATGATCATAGCAGCACCAGGCAGGGCGTAGCTCAGAGTTCAAACTGTTAGTGTACGCATGCCGATGGCGATGGGCCTCCAAGCTTGCCTATCTTCTTCCTCACTCAGTAATGGTGGTAGTGATGCCAGCACAATCTTAGACAAGGCATGTAAAATAGCTGGTAGGTGCGCATGCTGTACAGCAAAGGGGCACTTAGGTTTTTGTTAAGCTGCAAGTGCACGTGCTGCTCGTTTCTTATTACATTGTGCACAAGGAGAGGAATGGTGCACCTTCTTGTTCCCTTTCATTTTCTTTGAATTGCGCAGATAGCACACGTAAAAGTCAAGCTCATGATGCACATTTTGAGCGTCCAGATGCATAGCCTAACTGGGCAACGCAATACAGTAGACTCTCAGTAAACGGCACCTGGAGGGACCAGTAAAATATGTTCCATTTGACAGTTCTGTTTACTGAGAGGTGAACATGGGTGCAGAATACAAGCCCAAAACCAAGCATTGCAGAGGCAATAGTTCCGTTTAAAGAGTAGTTTTATTTAACAGATTTCTGTTTACTGAGAGTGTACCGTACAGTCGATCCTGGATATATCGAACTCAAAGGGGATTGCGAAATAATTTGAAATGCAAAATATGCCTATTTAGGGGAAATTAAAGCATTTGAAGCCTCAAAAGTTATTAAATGCACTGACATAACGATTCAATCCCTGTACATGTAGAATGAAAAACAAGAAGTGAACTGCAAGTTACCCCACATTATTTCACTAGAAGATAGTTTGTAAACTTGTCTTGATTTTTGTACGCCGTCAAGTTCCAGTCATTCTCAGTATCACTGAAGCTTTTCAAATAAGGGAATTCGGATTCTTTGGCCACAACAGCGTTGTTTGACGCAGAATGTCGATGCAAGCTTTGAAGCACAGCGAAAGGTTGGTTGGCAGCGAAGGCGTTGGCATATTCATAACCGCACGGGTACACTTCCGCGGCACTCGCAGCAGCAGCCATTATTACAACATCGATGCAATCTGAAACAAATACTTCATCATCTGCGCCAATGCAGTTGCTCACTACTCACTGTCTGAGATGATGCCTGGAAACACTAAGTTGCAGAATCCACTGAGGCACCGTACGCCGTTGTCAGAGGCCATGACTCACCCGAAGTCGTCACCTAACCCGCAAGGAAAGTTTCCGATGATGCTTTACTTGACGCATACCTGCCAAGTCTCACGGATTGGCCGGGATACTCCCGAATTAGGACCGCTTCTTCTGTTTGTACGGTTGTCATAAAAAAATTTCTCGGAAATCGAAATTTTTGTGCGTGATCCGGCAGCCTTGACAAAAAAGCAGCTCAATCCTCTCCTGGCTTTTCGGACCTACCCCATTTTATTATGAATGAGTTTGAAAGGCGTTCATTTAAACGTGGAGTAGAATCTCAGTGATGCGAAACTGCGGCAGATGCGAATTCGTGAAATTCCTCTGCAAAATTTCTTTATGTCGATTGGGCCTAAATTCGAATGTTTTGAACACATTTCCTAACCGCGGCGGGTAATACAAACTTTAGTACGGAAATCGTCGAATGAAGGCCGAGAGCAGCGTACTCGAAGCTTCGGAAGTACGCGTGTGACCAGCGCGCGCACTGTCTTCTACAGCGTGCGTGATTGTCGTTGCCACAACCGCTGTCGACGAAACGGTAGTCGGTTTTGACGTGATCATGTACGGCGACTACGTAACTAACAGAGTACCCAAAGTGTGTGTGCGTCCAAAACTCAACCAGTCAAAGCAACGCTGCTTTCCGCAAACCCTGCGGACAAAACCGCGGCAGATGCGATTGTAGACGCCATAAAACAACTTTGTTTTGATAGCGTGTGCGCAGTCAAGCACACGGGAATGTAAAAGGAGCTATACAATTTGCCCCAACTGCCGTGCACAGCATCGCAGTCGCAGCGGTGCGATAGCGATCTAGGAGTTCGAGGGCACACAGCGGTAGACTGAAGGCAGTAGATACGTAAAAAAAGCCAGTTTCACCGCAATGGCGAAGCAATGAATGCGACAGCAACAGCTTGGAATGTCGCACTGAAAACGGCAAGCAGATCGAAACGCGCAGCGTGCTGCTCACGCACAAATGACACACGAAAGCAATGCACACAAGACGAGAGTGAACTAACAATGTTTGCCGCTCGA